TGTTTGGGTCTGATTATGCATAAATAAAAAAATCGGAGAGTACGATAGTTTTGCAACTTCTGCCACGTGGCATCTAATGAATCTTTGTTAGATGACCCCACCTATTATCCCTTCCTCCAAGACGCTCACTCAGTCACTTGAGAATCCTCAACCACAGCCAAACAACAATTCTATTTTAGTTTCCAATTGGTCAGTATAAAAGCAATCTTACCAACTTATTTTTTGTTTTTTTTTTTTGTGAGCACCAACTTTCTTTTTTGGTAGCATTAATCTTTCCCATTCTAGATTGGAAATAATAGGAAATTTTTTTCTTCTAGGTGGTGGCTATATACCCAAACAAATTCCCAAAAACATTAGCAATTTGAAACGTGATTCCCAAAATCATTATGGTGTCCAGCAAACAAACCAATTCAATCAAAATGACTAGCAGGTCTTGTTAGAAACTGAATAATCCAAACATCAGATAACATATAGTATTGGTCCATAGGAATTTAAAAGCCATCGTCAAGGCATGGCCTTCACCTTTGCTATTGGAATGTTTAAATTGAGGCAAAAGGGAATTTAGGGTTTGGGGATGCCGCGGCAGAAGGAATTTTGGTTATGATACCGAAGTTTCCAACTCGCGGAATGCAAAGTATGTATTTATATAATAGAAAAGTTGATATAGATCCAAATTTCCATTGAGAAGTTGGGTTTAATCCTCGCATTTTGTGACTTTGATACAAGTCCTTTGATTTTTGTGCCACATGGGATTACATTCCTTTTGAAATATTTTATGATGTAATCTTTTTATTTTTATTTTTTTTTAAATCATTTTTTATTCCAATGTTGTAATTTATGCCTTGAATCGGGTAATAGTAATTTATATGATAATAATTAACCATTTATGACGTTTGTCATTGAATAGAAAAAGAAAATATTGCAAACAAATCCCAAATCGAGTTCTTTCATCCTTGAAAAAATTGAAGACATTTTGCGGAGATACTGGTAGCCAAATGGTCGTGGCTGCACTAAGAACCACACCGTTGGGCTGACTCGAATCCATGCTCTTATGGATGGTAACTCACACTCCAACCTCATTCATCCCAGAAAAGGTGGTCCATCAATGGCCGTTGGATGTGCTAATGCTTGCATGTTCAAGTGTTTTTAGGGAAGCAAATACAGTAGCACATCGTTTAGCACATGAGTTATAGGTAACAATTTTTATTTTTGTTCATTCTATAGTAGAGGTATATTACATACTCTTGTGGATATATTATCCTATGGTGTAGGTATATTGTTCTATTGCCTATTGCATAGGTATAATATATGTTTTTCATATTTTCGACGATGTATAATAGCATTTTATGTACCTTTTTTTTTTTATAGGTAACATACGTTTTTTATTTGTCTATTTTTGTATCTAACTTATATGTTGTCTTCTAATTTATGTTCCTAACTTATAGGTTGTCTTTTAATTTATGTTCCTGACTTATGGGTAACACGATTTATCACTAAGTTTTTTCCATTGCTAATAATAACACAACTTACCTGTATATTAGGTACATAATTTCATGTGGGTTTTTACTTTCATTAATTAAATTGTATTTTATCCATATATTAGGTAAATATTATCAAGGAAATAATTCAAAATTTAAAATCTGAAATTCATTTATGAGGAAATAATGCATTAAATTTAGATTTTCAATGTGTTTTCCTTATTTACCTGATTGGGTAAAATCGGCATAACAAAAAAAATAATAAAAGTCAAAGGACCTACATCTAAAACCAAAAACACGTGGACTAAACCCAATGACAGCTAATCGTTTTGGA